TGTGCTATAGAGTCAGTTTGTACTCACTGTGACCCCACGAGGCAGTAGAACTGCACCAGAGGATTTTGTTGGTCAGAGCTGAGTCCAGCTCTTTCTCCCATAGAGCACCTGGTGGGCTTAAACTACCAGGCTGTTGGCCAACAGCTGAGTACTTAAGCACTGTGCCACCAGTGCTCCTTTATACCTGCAGAACAATCCCAAGCTTTAGCTGCTTAAAAAAATCATTGTATTATACTTATGGATTTTCTGAGTATGGATTTTGATAGGACATGTGGTGGGGATGGCAGGACATAGAGTAGGGAAAGCTTGTCTCTGAGCCCCGTTGTCAGTGGTTCAGCTGGGAATATTGGCTGCTGTGGAGTGTTGACACCCGTCGCCTCACCTTGCCCAGGAGGACTGAAGGCCTGGGACTGATGGCTAGAGTGCCCTTGCCTAGGTGGTGGTTTGGGGTTACTTGCAGCATAGATGTTTCAGCAAGCAAGGTGGAGGATGCCTTGTTTTTCGGGGCGGTGCCCAGAGTGGGAGGGATTTAGCGTCTGGAGTCCTGCAGTGTCCCTTCGGTTGCATTCCCTTACTTATTGGGAGAGTCATCAAAAGCCCACCTTAGTTGCATGGGGAGATATCTCAACTTGCTTCTCTTGATGCTGGGAGGGCCGGGAACCTGTTAGAGACAAGGCAAGCTTACGGGATGGGGGATACAGTTGTGGCCATCTGCCCCCGTGTCCGGGCTGCCATAACAATACATAAAAGTCATAGGGCTGCCCCAGCAATGGATCCTAATTAGTGGATCATGCTGAAGAACTTCCAGTTCTGAAGGATAGAAGTTCACTTCAGGCTATTGGCTATTTCAGTTTTCCCCGAGGTACTTTATTGAGAGAAGAATTGTTCCCTGCTTTCCCAGTTTCTTGGGAGAAAGTACTGTCTACTCCCATAAAAGATTCCAGTCTTGGAAACTCACAGGGGTGAGTTTCTTAGTGTTTCCTACCCTGTTCTACAGAGTTGCTGTGAGTTGGCGTCTTTCCTGTCTTGTATTGGGTCACCTTTTGTCAGAATCGACTCTGGCAATGAGCTTTTAATTTTTTATTTTTCCCAGTTTCTTGTGACTGCTGCCAATCTTTGACATTCCTTTGCTCCTTACAGAGTATTTTCACCTGACGGTTAATATGTGAATCTTTCAGTATGTGTTCCCATTTTATAAAATGCCACACAGAAAGGTTAAGGATTAGGATGCTTATGATTTAACTGATAATATATATCATCAAAGAAAGACCATTTCTCCAAGCAATCACAATCATAGGTACAGGGTTTAGGGCTTAAGCGCACCCTGTGGTGAACACAGTTTTAGACAGAATACCATCTTCGGGAATAGCAGTACAGCCAGCCACATCTGTGTCTGTTGTAAATGTTGCTGGCGTAGCCCTCCCACCTTGAGTCTGGCCCAGCTATTGGAACAGTTTTCTGGGTGATAGGCTGGGTTGCAGCGACACTCGTGTATGTATAAGGAAAAACTATATAAAGAAGTAATTGGATATCAGGAAAGTGCCCTAGCCCAACAACTCAAGTCCATCAGTCCCTCTTCAGACTCATGCAGCCACTGCAGTGACACAGAATGTAGGAGGATCACAGGACAGTGGGTGCAGAGTTGAGTGGATCCAAGGTCGGTGGAAATACGGCAGGACTCCGGTAACTGCCAGGGTCAGTGGCAGAGAGAGGAAGGGTCCTGAGGGGGGTCTCCTTATGATAAGGCCACACCTCAAAGGACGCATCATCAGGTTGTGACCAGATTGACAGGTTCACTCCACCCCTAGCCAGAAGTGTCTAGTTCAGTGGTTCTCAATCTTCCTAATGCTGCGACCCTTTAATACAGTTCATGTTGTGGTGACCCCCAACCATAAGATTATTTTCTTTTTTTCCCCCCTCAAAATTATTATTTTTAAAAAATCATTTTATTGGGGGCTCATACAACTCATCACAATCCATACATATATCAATTGTGTAAATCACATTTGTACATTCGTTGCCGTCATCATTCTCAAAACATTTGCTTTCCACTTAAGCCCCTGGCATCAGCTTCTCATTTTTTCCCCTCCCTACCCGCTCCCCTCTCCCTCCCATAAAATTATTTTCGTTACTACTTCATAACTGTAATTTTGCTACTGTTATAAATCGGGCAACCCCGGTGAAAGGGTCGTTCGACCCCCAAAGGGTCACCACCCACAGGCTGAGAATCGCTGGTCTAGTTGCTATAAAATCATCTACTC